GTTTTGAAACGATAGTCCCTTGATTATATATGATAAGACCCATTGGTACGTCTTAGGTGTAAACGCACCGATATTCTCTCTCCGCGAAAGTTGACCAAATTTCCGTCCTGGTCTCTTAATGAAACCGTTAAGCTGTTTATCCTTTGAGCGATGACAGGCAAGTAGATTACGTTCTTTGGGATCTCGATGATTTTATACCCTGGTGGCTCAGCCGGATAGAACTCGTGTATTACATGAGACTCGATGCCGTCAATAAACGAGCCACGCGTTATATTACATTCCACCCTAATTGAATTAACTCTGATAATATCGACAGGTAGTTCGGAAACGTGTGTTTTATCCGCCTCGTACACTTTATTAGTAAAACCCAATGTCTTACCTATTGTACCTTCTTTACTGAAATCTATACTTTCCTGACAGGTCAATTTGGTTTTAAGTGTATTATTATTGGGTTTTAATGTAAACTTGTATTCTCTGGGTAGCTGGGACTTTATGTATTTATCTATATCTTCGATTTCGTACGAACCTTCGGGTATAGTGATAAGGCCTTTATTGCCGTAGTAAAACTTGTTATTTATATTATTCTCAATATTCGGTATAGAGGTATATGTCGATAGCTCAATCAGTCCTAACTCCCATTCCCCGTTACTGACATCGATAGGTGTTGATAACTCGTGTGTAAAGATACTACTTGTCCCCGTAAGGCTAAACATTTTCGGTTAGAAACTTTAAACACAAGTGTCCACAAATGACTGAGTCGAAACTCTGTTCCCGCACATAATTATAGTAAACCTCGCTGTCACCGAAATATCTCATTAGCTCCGGTGGTGGTTTGAGATTACCGAAACTGTCAAAGTAATAAACGATATTGTTAATCTTTTTATAACAGACCCAGTGGGTACCGGCCCCAGATGTACTGTCCAAATTCACTATTGCCGATTCGTTCTCTTTGGGCTTTTTTGGTAAACTATCCCTCATATATACACCTCTAAAGTTTGGTACTTTAAGTAATTTTGCATACTTTATCAAGTCGTAGTTTGTTAGAGGTTTTATCGGTATTGACAAGCTTTTTTCTTCTTTGTAACTCTGCGTTTTACTTTCCTTTTGCCGGCACCTTCTCTTTTATACGGTCTAAGATACAGACCCTTACCCTTCCTTTTGGGGGTACGTTTTTTCTTTTTCCGACCCCCTCCAAAAGCTGTTTTAGTCTTCATTATGTTTGTCACCGCCCACGCTGCGGCCTTCTCACCGATACTAGAGTCTAATGCTTTTACACGTTGCCAAGCACTATCAATCAGCTGACGGTCCGCGTTAAGCCGGTTCGCGCTGTCTTTGTATTTCGAATAGGCGATATCGTGTACCTTACACGCCTCGTCTAATTTGTTGATTCCTTTGTCTCCTCTCGCTAACCTTTCTTTTAATTTCGTTCCAGGTCCACAGTAATTATACAGTTTAGTACTGAAAGGGTTAATACCGGCTGGCAAATGTAATTCGATAAGTAGCTTATCGATGACCTTATTTATAGCCGAAGCGATAAACCCACTTCCTCTTTTGGGAGATCGTTTCTTTCTGATTGTCTTTTTCATTACTGCAGGTATTTGAGCACCTCGTACAGTCTGGTGAGCAACGTCTCACGTATACAGGTAATTTTCAAAATATCAAACGAGTTGTTTACCGAGCCCGTAACATACCCAGTAAACTCGTTGTATTCCAAAACAGTACTGTCAGTTAAAAAGTATATTCTACCGTTTATATACCGGAAAGCCCCATTGACACTGTTGGGAACCCCATTCAAGTAAGAGCTTATACCGCCTAAATGGGTAGCTCTGAATGAACACTCATCCAGTGAGTATAAGTACCAATTGTCTATAAGCAATAATGTCTTTCCCGTGTTACCAGCTATAACCGCATTCACATTACCAACTGGTCTCCCGACTACATTATTAATACTATGTCTGACGATAAATGCCAATGACGGATAATGGAATAGGTAAACATCTTTCCCGCTAAATAAAGCTATTTGATCGTTTGGTCGTTGGTAGATGGCCGATATCTCTTTAAAATCACGAGGTAGAAACCCTAGCCAGTCTGTAATCTTTATACTTGTATTGTACTGTTCCGGGGTCCTTTCCGCAGGGTCAAGACTCAGTACCCATACACGATCTAGTAGGAATGCAAATATTTTCTTATTCACGATTATATATGTAGATATGTTTCTTTTTAACTCACAAATATTGTAATTTTCAAAGTTATTTCGTTTTGTGAATGTTTTGTGTGTTGTCGTGGTTGGTTTACTAGTTGTTGTTGTGGATGTAGTTGTGGATGTTGTGGATGTTGTGGATGTTGTGGGTGTTGATGTGGATGTAGTTGTGGACGTTGTTGTTTGAATAGGACGTCTGCCGTATAGAAACTGAATAGCTAATATATCGTCTTTACCCAATTCAAACTCATTTAGATCTACAATTCCTTGAGGATGCCTCATAAAAGGGTACATGATTGATTCGTTATCGTGAGAATGATCTATCCCCAACGCGTGTCCAATCTCGTGTACTAACGTCAGAAAGAACGAAATGTTTCCATAACGTGGTAAGTCCATAGTATAATCCCAAATCTCCTCAGAGTCAAGATGAATATCGGTTGAATTGTATCCAGGCTGAGGTAAATAGGCATGAGCTAATTCTGAACCGGGCCCATCAAATTCATAATAACATACATCTTTTCTTGCAAGGAAAAGATGTTTTCTTTGTACCAAAAATGAAATAAAGATTGTAGGGTTATGAAACGACTTTCTAAAGGTGATGTTTGCATGTTTTTCCCATACACGGAACGCTTTTTCAATAATAGTACTACCTAGATGTGATATATTGTATCCGTACCATGTAATTACCGTTGTATTCCATTTACGGTTAGGTATGACTGAGAATGGTAGTGGATTATCTTTATTACCGCAACGAGGTTGGTCCAGTAATTCCAATGTAGCATTATCTAAAGTACCGGTTACTTCCAGGTTAAATGTTTCTTGAAATTGTTTTACGGCATCGGTTATGTCATCGGTTAGAGCAGAATCAGATATGTAGCCGTACTTCTCCAGATATAATAATGTTTTATTGCAAAACACACTGTGTACGAGCAATAGGAACAAAAGAACCGACATGTTCAAAGGTCTAAGCTTTAATGATTAGTCAACTATAGACGCACGTCTTTTATTCACGATCCATAAACAGATCAGGTGTTTGGAGGTAAAGGTTTTACTTCTTCCTCTTCTTCTTCATCAGGGACTTTATATAGTTCCTCCCAATTTAGATAATCGTTTTCCCCAGCGATAGGTAAATTGGCAGACCTTCCAGTATGTTTTTTGTGGATATAGTTAAATAGAATCACGCTGAATTTTTTCAATTCTCTATCGTGATGTTCCTTGTTTTGTGTTATTAAACCGTCATATTGTGACATTTTCTCGTTGATGGTATTAATATCGGATTGAAGTTTATCCAATTGTGTAGACATAGGTGTAAGTTTATCACTCGTACTCTTATTCAAATATCCTTTTGTTACAACGTCATCTTTATCCTTAGGCTCAGCTAGGTGTGTTATCTGTTTTCCCTGGGCGTCATAATGGGAGTCCTTGAGTGTTAGGCAGATTCGTTTTACAGTCTGGTAGTTGAATCCGTCGGTATTTTCAACAGGGTTTCCCATATTTATTAATCTTTTACTTCTAAGATTATAGGAGTGTCTATCACCTGGTATTATTCTTTTATCGACATATTCCTTCGAAGCCGCGTCATTACCGTTTTTGGGTTTACCTATATTGGTTAGGGTTTTACTCTGTAGATCGTAGTTCCCCTCGGCTGTAAGGACATATCCCTCGCCTTTGGGTCCTTTAATAGGATCCTTACCCGATTTGCTACTACGTCCAAACTTATCGATGGTCATTATATTAATGATTTGAACCTAGAGTTTCCACCACCTCTTATATACCCAGCTTCACGTAGCTCTTCTATGACACTGATGATCTCATTGGAATGTACTCTGTTTCCTGTCTCTGTAGACATGATTATATGCCCGAGTCGGTTTACAAGCTCGTTTACATCATCCCAATAGATAATGTCTCGAGAATGTATGTTTTTCCATAGCAAGCCTCTCCCCTGTGTAGCCTTTAATGGCTGTATGATTTTAAGATATTTACGACCTTTGCTCGCTTTAACTCGACCTGTAGGTTCATAGTTCTCTCTATGTGCGTTTGTAGCGTACAATATACTTTTGTATGTATTCAAATCGTTTTGCGTGTAAGTACCTTTATCGGGCAATCGTTTAAATAATAGTTCGTAAAGACCTTCGGACGCTCCATAGTTGACACCGCCGATACGTATATTACCTTTATCGTCAAAGTCCAAGTTTTCACTACCAACCATTAACACGCTGCCATCTTCATAACGTGGGCCGAATGTGTAGTCTATCACCTTTTTATTACCACCCATATCCTTAATGAACCATGTCATATATTGTCGTGTCACTGGGTTGTCAAAGTATTCGTCGACAAATTGAGTAGTAGATGCTAAATTAGTAGGTGTTGATACAAGTTCGGTAAATTCCGATCCTTTAGGCGTAGCCCTCATAGGGGTAGCTGGTGGCTCAACTACCCTCATAGGGGTAGATGAAGCTGGTGGCTCCTCATTTTCTGAATCTGTTTCATAGTCCATAGGCTCTTCCTTTACTTCACTTTTAATTATTGGCTGCGGGGTAGTTTTCCTTAATTCCTGTATAATAGGTCTGTACTGTTTCTCCAGCTGTAAATCCGTATCATCTGAACCCTCTTTGAAAATTTTGTACTTGCGTTTAATAGCCTTTCTAAGCTCAATAAGTCGAGCAGTAAGCTGTTTATCCTTGGAACTCATGTTTGCGAATGAAGTATGACGGCTTGTATGTGTAGTTTTATGGGTTTCAAATTGTCAAAAAAAAAACACTGCACGCCTTTTATCATTTTTCAAATACCATGTCCACGGTTATAGCTCTGTTACAAAACTGTCGAGTCCTACCCTATATCTTCCATTATTAAGGTCCGATGTTTTATCAATAACCAGGAAGCCAAAGTTATCTTTCCATGAAACTGCACAGATTTCCTTAAACTTGTCAAAGGACATATCGGTTGTCACGTGATCATTATATACATGTCTCAGGTTCCTTTCGTCTTGTTAAAATAGTATGAGAAAGTTACAGTTATCTCTAATTAACTGTTTTGGAATACTACTGTAGGTTTGTCCCAAGTAGAATATATCTAGATTTTTATGTCTACCCATGGCAAAGTAACTTCTAATCATATTGTGCTTCTCACAGCTTATATCGTCAAATATAATTATAGAGTTTTTCCTCGTGTCGTTAGGATTTATGACCATCGTGTTATCATCAAACTCGCGATAACCTATTTCTTTGGGCAACACTTGTTTGAGCAGCTTGTATTTGTCTTGATATAAAGACTTTGAAAAAACATAAATGTTTTCAAATCTTAAACCGTTTGAATCAAAAATCATATTAAATAGTACGTTGGTTTTACCACAGGAACTAGGCCCACAAATTACAGGCCGGATAGAGCATGGTAATAATCGGCCATTTTTATAATTTTTATCTGACCCCGTGCCACTAAAGATATCGAAGTTTGTGACGGGGAACTGTACATCATGCTGTACTAATCTCATCGTTAATGAATTACACGTGTAAGCGGAAGTGCTTTTATATAGCAGATACTAATCGTGATTACAACGCGAGTTTCTTTTATACTTTAGATAGCGAATACTTATAACACAGCGATTTTGTTTTTATACTTTAGATAGCGAATACTTATTACTCAACGGAATTATTTTCATATAATGACTACTTGGTAATATCGGTATAGTTTATCCAGCTATTATGTGATTCATCAAAACCTTTCCACTTGACTAGTAATTTAGATCCCTTACGTTGCAAAACCTTCTCAACCATAAACACATCACCGGTTTTAGACTTGCTAATTTCCTCCGCATAAAAACCGCCTTTAAGGATTTCCCCTGTTGAGTCTTCTAATATATACGTGACGGGTCTTGTAGGTTTGATTGCGTGTACTTTAAAGACTCCATTAGTCCAGTTGGGTAAGTACCCTTTTTTGAATGTCCTTCTAGCTTTACTGATTCTAACATTATCTCCCAATTGGAATTTAATTTTACCTTTAGGGGTTTTTAGTTTGTTTAGCCCTTTTAGTATCATCTTAACATGTTTTTGTTTAACATCTTTAGGTTTCATACCGATAGTCCTATGTTTACTGTTGTTATATGACTTTACAATACTCGGCAAGATACTTAACCACTCGTAGCTTCCGCGGGCAGTGAATAACTTATACATTTTATTCTTAATCGTTTTATTATACCTCTCACATATTGACGCTTTCATTTCTGAGAACGTATGATAATGATTTATGTTATGCTCTTTCATCAATCTATTAATGTGAATATTAAAAAACTCTTTCCCTTGATCGGTTTGAAAATTTTTCATTTTATATTTAACTAGTATAGGTTCAAGTGAGTAGTTATGAAAGGAGATGGTTTTATGGAGAATTGAAATGAAATTGAAAATTTTCATGTATGTGTGATTGGAGGGGTACATGTGATTGAAAGTTGAGGGGTGGGGTTTTGTTATTGTAAAAGAATGAGAGAATGAAAGAGAAAGAGAGAATGGATGATGATGAGGGTAATGAAAGAGAAAGGGATAGAGAATGTTTGGGGTTGTGAGTGAGTGAGAGAGAGAGTGAAAGAGAAAATGGGGGAGGAAGAGGGGTATTGAAAAGAGAGAGAGAGAATGTGAGATGGGAGTGAGAGAGAGAGAGAGAGTGAGAGAGAAAATGGGGTAGGAAGAGGGGTATTGAGAGAGTGAGAGAGAGGGGAGATAGAGGAGTGATAATGAGTGAGAGAGAGAGAGTGAGAGAGAGAGGGTGATGATGGAGAGTGTTTATGATGACGTCATTGTGTTATGTGTGTGTGTGTGTGTGTGTGTGTGTGTGTGTGTGTGTGTATTGGTGTGTGTTTATTTTTTATTACTGCTTTATTCTGTATTATTTGGTATCGTTTATTATCAATTACTCTGTTATAGGTGTTGTACATTTTAATGGACAGTAGTATGTTTTTATAGTTTGTAAAATTAAAAGATTTGGGTAAATTCTTTAGTCGTGGTATGGTATCTTTCAATGTCCTGTACCCGTATGTTTTACTTCTTACTGTAACGAATTCTAGAATGGGATTATTAGGAGATGTATCTTTGAATTTACCTAAGAGAGTATTAGAAATGAAATGTTAAATAAAAAAGAGTAACATTAAATTACCTAAGGCAAGAGAAATCCACTCTCTGCATTCCTCTCTCCATACTTCGCTTCTGTACTTAGGAAAACTTAGCTTTATATGAAGGCTATATATTTTTTTTTGATTACAATAATGTCAGTTGACAAGTTATAATTAAAAAAAAAAACTATATTAACTGCGAGTTAGTTATAATTCCTATAGATTAAAAGTAATAAAATATTTTTATTGAAGATCAGAATTATTGGTTAATTTGTATTATGAATGAATAATATGAAAATAATATTAGCTGTTGACAAGTAATTATATATAAACATTTTAATGTTATATCATAATTATAATAATATTATAAATGTTAAAGTTTGTGTGTTTGTTTACTTGTATATTTGAAGTTCAATTACACATTAACTATTTGTTGGATTGGGTTGAAATTTAGTATGATAATAGCTCTACATTCCCAATTAACATATAGATATATTATTTTTTCAAAAATCCTTTTGAGCTCAACCCTAGTGGCTCTGAAGTTTTCCATGTTAACCCTATGAGTTTTTATATTTAAAAAGAATTAAAGCATTTAAACGAAACAAGTTAGTTCTATGATATTCAATAGCATAAAAAAAGTTATAAGATTTATCAACTGGGTGCAACCCTATTAATTATCTTTTGTATTTACCACAACAACTAATTTGAACCAAGTAGTAACAAAAAGCTGTGATATATAAAGAAAACTTTACTTTTTTATTGTTTAGGTGTAGTAGTAGAACATTATAACTATGGTATATGTGTTATACTATGGTATATTGTAAAATAATCAAATTTTTTAAACAAATTCTTCTCCAATTGCAAACACAAAGCACAGGGATAACTGTAATAAACATTTTATACTAAAACCAACCCTATACAAAGGACAGGTACTCAGCTAGTTTTAATTATAAATCTATGATTATTTTATTATAGACTAATATATTAGAACCTAATGGTACATCCAGAGTGCATACTGAATTGGATTTGGTTTCTCTTCTTTTTCTTCTTCTTATAGTTTGAACAATAAGAAGAGGAACTAAATTTAATTTAGTTTTTCAGCAGCAGGAATAGCACTTGCATTTAAATAGAAGTAGCTGTAGTAACTAATTTTAATATAAATCTATGATTTTTTATTCTAGACTAATATATTGGAGCTTAATGGTACATCTAGAGTGTATACTGAATTGAATTTAGATCCTTCTTTTTCTACTTCATTTTATAGTTTGAAGTACAGAAGAAAAATTTAAATCTGATTTAGTTTTTCAGCAGTAGGAATGGCATTTGTATTCAAATAGAAATGGTTATAGTGGCTACTTTTGTTATAAATCTATGTTATTTTTAAATTCTAGACTAATATATTAGAGCATAATGAGATATCCAGAGTATATACTGAATTGAATTTAGATTCTTCTCCTACTTCAAGTTCTTCTTATAGTTTGTTGTAGAAGAAGAATTTAAATCTGATTTGGTTTTCAGCAGTAGGAATGGTACATGCATTTAAATAAAAGTGGCTGTAGTAGCAACTTTTATTATAACTCCATGATTTTTTGATACTAGACTAGTTTATTGGAGCTTAATGGTACATCTAAAGTGCACACTGATTAGGATTTAGTTGTTTCTTCTTATGCTCTTATTTTATACTAGAAGCATTAGAAGAAAAATCTAAATCTTATCAGATTTTCAGCAACAGAAATAGCACTTGCATTCATCAAGATTTTCAGCAGTAGAAATGGCACTTGCATTCATCAAGATTTTCGGCAACAGGAATGGCAATTGTATTTATAAGATTTTTAGTAGCAGGAATAGAACTTATATTTAAATGAAAGTTGTTGTAGTGGTTACTAGTTTCTGAGCCAGTGTGTAGTCATCTACTTACTGGAATGAATTCTTCATCATGTCAGATTTTGATTTATTTTTTGTTAGTAGACATACTATTTGGTTAAATAAATTTGATTTTTATAGTAAAATATTTAATTTTGTTCATCCTTAGACTTACTTTTGAATTTATACTAAACACTCTCCATGAAAATTGTTTTGTGTGTGTAGGTTATACCAGTTTACTACAATAAAATGTCCAAGTTTAATAATAAGTTTTGGTGGTTTTAGGCTCCATTCAACACAATATAATTCAACTGAAAAAATATTAACTAGTTAATTGGTTGTTTTTTAAACCAGTTTAGTCAAATAAAAAACTGAGTTGATTCTAATACAACAACTGGTGGTATTCGATTAAGATATTGTTTTTAGTAATTTTAGTCATTACAATAAATTTCTTTGTGAACTTTTGTGGTTGATTCCTATTGTTATCATTTACATTAATATTTTATACTTTGGTAAAAAACATAATAGAATGAAAATTTTACAATTCATTTTTAAATTTATAGTTTATTACATGACTAACAAGTTTTAAATTATTCAGTAGACCTAATGTATTAAAGTTAGTAAATCAAATATTGAAAACCATTTTATAGAAGTTGAATCAGCTGCTAAATGTAGACTTGTTACTCTAAAAGCTGGTAATCCAAATGGTTTCGTTTGTATCAAAACTTATATGGAGTGGTTGAGAGATAATGTAATTTATCAACTAAAACATTACCAACAAATACATGGAAGTATAAAATATAACATGTTGTTAGAATGTAAGTTTTCAAAATCTGAAGATGAGTTACAAACAAAAAGTTTTAAAACTCAAAACATAACAGTTTTTAATTTAACTGATTTAAATCAACAATATACAGGTAATATAGAAAAGTTATTACTGGAAAAATCTAATTTAGAAATGCGTGGATCAGGTTGGGCAATTTACACGATAGTCAAACTTGAACTTCGCATAAACAGATATGAACCAGTTTGGGGATCATCACACTGTTACAGAAGAATCAAACTACCCTCTTTCATAAATGGTAAAAAATCTCTTGTAAACCCCTTTCGTACAAGTAGTATGAAAACTAAATGTTGTAGTAATAACAACATATGTTTCAAAATAGCTATAATGGGTAAACTATTAGCAGATGCTAAAAAAGATTACCATAACATTTTAAATTACTTTAAATATGTATCTATAAGTAATCGTTATAACTGGTGTATTTCCTTTCCTGTTAAACTTGACGAGATACAAGTATTTGAAACCATAAACAATATATCAATTAACGTCTACACACTAGACAGTAAGAATAAAAAAATAATTCCCCTTAAAGTGACACCACAAAGAAAACATGATCATCGAGATATACTATTGTACAGTAACCATTACATGTGGATAAGAAATTTTGAAGCATTCATAGGTAAACAATTAGTAAAAACATCATCTAGACTGTACATTTGTAGACAGTGTTTCAAACATTTCTATAAGAAACTCCATCTTCTGAATCATGAAACCGTCTGTGCAACAACTCCCTCAGATCCAATTGTCACACTACCAAAAACTGGTACTAAACTGTTCTTTAAAAATTACCACAAACAGTTGAAGATACCCTTTGTCATTTACTGTGACATAAAAAGTAAGTTAGTCAAAGAGGATACCTGTGAACCAAATCCAAATATATCATTCACTCATCGTATAGGTACATACTCAATAGAAAGTCTCACATACAATATCATAGATGAATCAAGTAAAATAATACGTACACTTACCTTTCCAGACATATCCACATTTATGATATCATTAGAAAGTGAATGTGAATCAATAGGAAGGATATATAAAAGAAATATCCCTCCTAACTGTTATCCTCCCAAACCACAAATCAATGACACCTGTCACATATGTGGTCATATTCTTGACGACGACTACGTCCTTGACCATAATCATGTAAATGGACAAGTAAGAGGTTATGCCCATTCAACATGTAACTTTAACTATCGTCTACCACATTTTGTTCCTATAATAATTAAGGATTTCGGAATAGAACTGTTAAACTACTTCACCAGTGTCAATGCAAACATAAAATTCATCCCATTCAAGGGACAGATAGAGAAGTTCTTGTGCATATCAAAAAGAATCAAGAACACGACAATGAAGTTTTTAGATTTCTTCCAATTCATCCCCGATGATATACCATTCCATCAACTAGAATCTATACGATCAATCTGTATAGAGAACTATAACCTCGACATATTCCACTACCTGACAATAGGTTCTTACTGTTTCGACGTCATGCTCAAAGTCACTAAAGTCCAAATAGAACTTTTAAACGACATAGACATGTACAACATGATAATGAAAGGAATAAGAGGTGGATATACATCTGCAATTAAAAGCTATGCAAAATCAAATCACCACACTCTTCCAAACTATAATGCCTCAGAACCAGATTCATTTATATACTTTTACGATATAATAGGTCTATACGCCACTATAATGTCAACAGAACCACTTCCACTTGACAATTTCAAATGGATTTCACCATCAACATTTGACCTATACAACATCAATAATAATAATGGTACAGGTTACATTCTAGAAGTAGATTTAAAATACCCTTTCAATACCGATCACATAGACTATCCACTATGCCCTTACCACGATGAAAGTACAGGAGGTAGGACATTAATATCTTCTTTCAAAGATAGAAAGCATTATGTGATCCATTACAAGACCTTAGAACAAGCTCTGTCAATGGGCATGATACTAGAGAAAGTCCATAGAGTCATTTCATTTAACCAATCATGTTGGTTAAAACCCTACATAGACATAAACACCCAATTACGAACAACCTACTCACACGACAAAACCCTCTCAAATTTCTTTAAACTGCAATCAAACTTAATCTATGGCAAGTCAATAGAAAAAGTAACTGAAAACCTAAACAAATACTTCCTGTACAACAACACTAAGAAACTCATGTACTTAATAAAACAACCCACGTTCATAGACAGACTAATTCTAAATGAAAACAATTATATAATATTCATGAAAAAGAAAAGGGTCCAGTGCAAGAAACCCATACCTGTAGGATTTTCAATACTAGATCTAAGTAAGAGATACATGTACCACATGTATTACAATAACTTGAAAAAGTACTTCCCACCGTTCAATTTAATATACACAGACAACGATTCATTTGCAATACAAGTATTCACTACTGATACTACTTCATTTACAAAAGATCAACATTTCATTTCTAATACTCTCTTAGGTAAATTCAAAGATACATCTCCTAATAATCCCATTCTAGAATTCGTTACAGTAAGAAGTAAAACATACGGGTACAGGACATTGAAAGATACCATACCACGACTAAAGAATTTACCCAAATCTTTTAATTTTACAAACTATAAAAACATACTACTGTCCATTAAAATGTACAACACCTATAACAGAGTAATTGATAATAAACGATACCAAATAATACAGAATAAAGCAGTAATAAAAAATAAACACACACCAATACACACACACACACACACACACACACACACACACACACATAACACAATGACGTCATCATAAACACTCTCCATCATCACCCTCTCTCTCTCACTCTCTCTCTCTCACTCATTATCACTCCTCTATCTCCCCTCTCTCTCACTCTCTCTCACTCTCTCAATACCCCTCTTCCTACCCCATTTTCTCTCTCACTCTCTCTCTCTCTCTCTCACTCCCATCTCACATTCTCTCTCTCTCTTTTCAATACCCCTCTTCCTCCCCCATTTTCTCTTTCACTCTCTCTCTCACTCACTCACAACCCCAAACATTCTCTATCCCTTTCTCTTTCATTACCCTCATCATCATCCATTCTCTCTTTCTCTTTCATTCTCTCATTCTTTTACAATAACAAAACCCCACCCCTCAACTTTCAATCACATGTACCCCTCCAATCACACATACATGAAAATTTTCAATTTCATTTCAATTCTCCATAAAACCATCTCCTTTCATAACTACTCAAGTGCTTTGGCAACTTCGGGGCCTGACTTGTCCTTTAAAGGTATAGCAAAACCTAATTTAGAGAAACAATTTATTATTGTCATTATGTAACGGTACCCTTTGTTTAACTTTGCATACGGTTGCATCTCTACTATATCGGCTTGGTACAAATAATTTATTCCCTTAAGAGTTACATTACGTCTGGTATAGTTCTTTCTCGCGGGTTTGTGTAGTTCATCCGCTATGCCTTCCATTGTGGAAATGATTTATCTTAACACCGGTTACGTCTAATATAGCTTTGCTTGGATAGGGTTTGAGACTATCCCCTCATTAAGTGAGGCCAGGTTAAGCGTTTATAGCCAGTCCAGATTACCTGGTAGTCGCTATAAACGCCCTCTCCCTTACTTTTACAAAGCTTTTTTTTGTCAAGTCTATGGATTTAGTTATGTAATCCTGCCAAAAGTTGCCATCCATGGTTTACAGACCTTTTAGTCAGCCATGCCAGTGACCTTTATTTGCAGCCTGCAGTGACCGATGAATCTCAAGGATTTAGCTCATTTTTCCTACAAGGTCTTACTCAATCAGCCTTAGTAGGTGGCGACCATATGGTGACCGAGTACCTTGAGATTACATCATTCTTACTAGGACTTACTATATTGCGGCCTTGGTAAGTGGCGACTGCAGCTGAGCTACAAGGAGTAGTCCAGGTTCTTTCCAATCTGAACGCCTCAATGTAGACTCACATTTACACAAGTACAAGGAGTAGCACAGGTTATTTCCAATCTGAACTGCTCAATGTACACACACTCACACTTTGGTCGGGTTACATAAGTATTTATCTATAGACTTGATTTTTATTAGGAGAGTTATTTACATTAATATACAGTGAAAGATTACAAAGTTATTTACAATGAAAAGTTAAAATAATATATACAAATCTATTTACAATTAGTCTCTTTTGAACTTTACCGTATCCAAAAGGTAGAGTGTCGTACTCTCCTTCAAACTTTCTCTTAGGCCCCGTGATTTTAAACACTTTGCTCTCAGTGATGGTAACGATGTCTCTATCTCTAGTTCTTCTGATTCTGTTCTCTTCAATTTCAATTGACTGTTTTACTTCACTTAGGACCATTTCTCTCAGTTTTTCAAAGTTTACTACTTTTGATGTTTTAAAGTTGAGGGTGAGGCCCTTGATTTTACATACAGGGATCAATTTCTGTTGATTGGTTGACCAGACAAGGTACGCGTAAGTTTTAGGCCCCCCAGAGACAAGTTCAGTGATGTAAGAGCCGGGTCCGTAATCTGTCAATTCGTCAGTCATTTCACCGAGGTAATCTCCCGTAGGAACTCTGTACAGGCCTTGGCGGTGATAGAAAATGACGCTGTCTGTGTCATAATATAATACTTGAACTCCTAGGGCCTCAAGATGTTCGTAGAGTTTGAGTCTCGCCTGTGATGTGGTGTAGGCCGCGATACAAACGTTTACGTTGCTTAGAGGTTCTCCTACTTCCTCAATATATTCCTAACAGACGACCACAACCTCGTCATTAACAGTCTGGATTCTATTTACTTTAGTTTCAGGACTTGATAGCATTAAGAAAAGTGTTTTAGGGTCTCTAACGATTGAAGCTTTAGTCTGGTTTTCTCGTTGGCCAAATTTTCCCCAGAAACTGTTGAGCATTAGCTTAGCCAATGACCTCAAGCCACCATTTTTGATAATTTTGTCTTTTTCTAGTTGGACACCCTCTTTTTTTAAATAATCGTTAATGTACTTGTTTTTGTCCTCATCAGTTTCACACCAACTAGGGAACCCAGATGCTTCCTGTTTCATTTTTAAAAATTTATTTATCAAGTCGGGGAATAGTCCTCCTTTCTCATATGTGGCCATCTCATATTCCCACAACTCGTACATGTCAAGCACAACATAACCCTTTTCTACAGCCTTCCTGATCTCATCCATTGTCCAAGTCCCAACAAGTGCCCTATTATCACTGTCGTGATTACACTCTCCCTGGTACATCATCTCCCCACACATTCTACACAACACAAACATCAATTTGTCGTTCATTTTTGTTGGGAGTACAAGGTGATAGAGATCGCGAGGTGGTAGGACTTTACATTTTAACAACCCCTCTACTTCCATACCTCTCTCACGACACTCCCTATCTCCTACATAGATAGTTGGATGACCTACAGGGTACTTCCCATATTTACAAACGTACGGATACAGGGAGCAAACGTCGACGTATTGGATAGTTTCCCCCTCAACACATTTGTGGTAGGTTTTAGCGTTTCCTGTCCTACCTCCAAAGAATGCATTACGAGGTTCAAGGGGAAGATTGTTCAAGATGGGCAGACTGTCCAGATGATTAAGTTTTTGATTCTTTTTAAGCTTTCGGAAATCGCATTCCCACATCTCTACCAATGCGTGTTCAGTAAACTTTGCGTTTTTGGCTTTAGTTCGCTCGTAGCGAAGATGTAAGCTATCGGAGGGATCCTCCTTCAAAGGGGCATGACGGTCGTAAGGAAAACATTTGGGACAGCCGTGCCAGTAACACCCTTGAAATTCATAGATGTTTCTACCATCAAAACCGTCTACTTTCAGCCCATTAACCTTGACTTCTTTGCCTCGACCTGCGTGGTCAATCCTAATACCGTTTGTTTCCTCGACCCAAGAAAGCCATTGGAGTGCTATGGCCGATTGGTTGTCTGATAATCTATAACCGTTCTTAGGGATGATACCGATAGTGTTAGGTTTCAGGAAGTTACGGCGGAAGGCTAGATTGCAGGCACTAGCGATGGTAACAGCCTCGAGAAACGGGTCAACTTTACACTCTTGCAGAAATATTGCGCGGAACTTTAGACAGGCTTGGGCCAAGATATCGACATCTGACATACAGTAAGCTAGGATCTCGTTTTTGAAGTTGAACTCATACATGTTTGCAACCTGCTCACTATACCATTTGTCAAAGTCATTGTGGGATTTTTCAAACATAGATTCGGGACAGTAGTACTCTTTGGGTGGCATAGGACCCACGTAGTTTTGGTTTGCAAGAGTGTTGAAGAGATGGGGAAAGTAGCCTTTCTTTTTCTCTGGAGGTAAGTCGAAGGCTTTAGGCAGAGCGGATAGAGCCATGGGGAAGTAACTTAACGAGTCCACAAACCTCACATTGTCAATTTCCATCAAGATAATCTTAGTTCCCCGCATTACAAGTTCCGGTGTGAATTTAGTTTCTTCCAACAAGTACTTTAGCAGAAATTGAAAGTCAAAACCCTGCCCATTGTGTGCGATTACACAGACATTTTTAAACTGTTTCCTCACTGACATTACATAGTCCATAAACTGTTTAATAGGGTCAGAGTCAAACACCCGTGTACGATTTTTACACGCAATACAATATTTCGCCTCGATACACTGATAACAAAACTGTTGAGAGAGACACACAGGTTTACTTTATGTACTTTACTTTCTGGGTCAGAGGGTGGGGATTCATCCTGGCGAGTTTCCAAGTCAAAGAAAATAAAAAGGTAGTCTTTAGATTTAGATTTAGGTCTGCCCTCGTTGTCAGGCCTCGCAGTAGAACACACAAGCAAAAGCGGCTGTCAAACTAGTAATTACATTGTAGTGCCGGTTATGAAACAACAAGTTAATTTTGAACTTGGGGTTCTCTACATTTCCCTCAAAGTATACATCGCGGCCTTTAGTGTTGTAGTTGTACACAGTGATTTTGTACTCTTTAAGCAAGTCCTGAAAATTTTCAAGTTCGGCAATGCCTGCACCACCCTCGGGCATCTCAACTCTTGCTCGACGAACAAGTTCTTGAGCCCTAACAGTCTGTCTTTTTGCCCTATCTTGTCTCACAGCTTTGTATTCTGGGTCTTTAGTTACATTAGCTACAGCTACCACCAAGGCACGAGGAAGACACAAATTATCTTTATTGTTAATCACTACGATTCCTGTTCTAGCCTTGCATTCTTCATCAAAGGTATTATACAGACCAGGTCTAACCCTACCTTTACCTTTACCTACAGGAAGATTAACTCGGGTACATTCGACTTGAAATGTGTCTGTGGACTTGATAGACTCAGCATTTGATTGTACAATTCCTCCAAAGATTTGTCACAAGACATCATCGTTAACTTCATTTGCCGGGCGAAAATCAATAAACCCCGGCTCTTTACTTTTCAGGTTAAGTGAACGCAAAGTGAAACCCAATTGATCGCCCTCCTGACAAACTTCTTTCATCTCATTTACAATTTGACCAAACCCTTGTCTTAGCCAATCAATCTCACTAGTTTCAGGCGGGGGGTTAGAAAACTTGAAAACAGTGTTAATACCGTGAATTCTGAATTTCTTAACATAATTTTCATGTTTATCTAATACATTTACGGGGACAGCTACTTGAACAGAATCATCAACTATATTTACAGGTTCGTTACCGTCAATAGGTTCAACTACTTGAGCAGCTAAGTTACTTACGTCCATCTTCGCCAATCGCTGAGAGCAAAGTAGATGAGAGAGGCACAGAGCAGTATATATACGGTAGGGAAGGGGGTGGGGTAACCACAAAGGATAGTTTTCAAGCTATAACATGCTTACTAAGCAGGAAGTGATATCAATTATAATTTCGTATACTAAGTAGTTTTCATGTTGTAACATGCTTATTACACCGGAAGTGATGCCAATTATTAATTATTTCCTGTACTAGTTGTGATTAATGTCTTTTTCCAGACACTAATTATAGTTATTATCTGTTTCAGATGATGCAATACCATACAGGATGTAGATAAGGTATGAGACAGGCTGTAAATAATGTAAGTAAAAGCAATTTTATCTTTCAACGTTGTTTCCTTATTAATACACAAATTTTATCATTTGGTGGGGAGCGGTCTGATGGGTGGAACAGCCGGCGGAAAAGCAGATGACAACGTACACAATACGTAAAGTGAGGTCATGGTGGGAAAGCAGATGACATAAAAGTGAGGTTATGTCATTTAGCAAGAGTTGGCGGGAAAAGTATACACTACGTAGTGTGAGGCCATGGCGGGAAGGATTTCACCTTGAAATTATGTTTAACAGCTGCGTATGTGGTCGCATGATCGGTTGGTAACACAATTAAGGTTGTTGAACAGTTGACGACTACAATATATGTTACAACTGCTTCCGTGGCTGGATAGCTAAGGCAATAATCCATCACCTTGGAGGTCCGGGGTCGATACCCGTTTAAGGCATTCATTTTTATCCTATGATTAGTTTAGTATGTTAAATACCTACATATAATTACGAAAAATTTCCTTAACTACCCCTAACAGCTAAGAGTTATGTTTACAACCCCCTATAGATTAAACTACCACTCTAGGGGTGGTTTTGGGCCCGATCACCGCCCCTCCTACTGACGCAAAATTCTACAAAACGACAGTACAAGGACGTGAGACCGAGGAAGCTCAGTCCCTGTTCGGGCGCCAGAGATGTGACGCAAAATTCTAGGGGGGAATAAACTAGTATTCACCTAAGTCAGGCTAGGCCTACCCCTAGAACCAGCCACACTCAAATTTCTTCCCCGGAGCGCTCAGAAGGAGCCGAGAAAAATCCAGGGGTCGATACGAAGTTGTCACGGCTTTGACTGATCAACTTATTTAAATTTAAACGAAGGCTCAGAGCTCAGGAAATGTTCAGGAAATCCTGCAGACGCTCAGTTGGAGCTATATATCATCCTTACATTCGTTAAAGTGTTTTGTTAAATTTTGCCTAATCTTTGGAATGACTCTGTAGGGCCGACGAGTATTCAATCTTAAGCCAATGTGATATAAATACTCGTATTAAACTGTAAACTATCTGGCTAAGGACGTTGGTAAATAATATAATATCAAATAAAAGGTAAAAAGCAATTCCTACAGAGTCGTCGGGCCTAATTAATATGATCCAATGAAGAATTTATTGTGGGATGATTTAAAATAGATTTAATATTAATATTCGTGACTGTTTGATTGTTCAAATCAGCCTACTCCCAAGACTAGGTTCTCTCGCCCACCAAAGACGGGGTTTAGAACGCAGACGACAAGTCTCGGGGCATTAAAACGGCGAACTAATTAGAATAAACGTACGTAATAATCATTCGTAGAAATCGTAATTTTGAAACTAATTGGTTTAAATCAAACCAAACTATAATCACCGCTAGTCACTGGCAATCAGGAACTGGCGGGTCAAGACTCGAGTTAGCGGAAACTAAGTTATTAAAATTTAGTTATTTAATATCGAATTTTGGAACTAAAATAGTCGTAAAACGAGAATGCGTGCGTTAAACGTAGAAATGGTCTAACTATTAGAATAGCTAACCTTCGTAATATCGGCGATCGGCGGGAATGCGTAAGTAGTCTTGTAACGACGAAGTTACTTCGAAGACGGCGTACGAACGAATAATCCTGTCTTTCTTGGAGTAAAATCCTTCGTTCCTGCCCGCTCGAGGCTTACGCGCTCAAGCGGCGAACTCAAGTACTACTAGACAACAGCTGATCGCAAATTCACTTGTTGAGCTGGTCTCTAGTTTCGTCTGTCGTCTGTCAACAAATAAACACCAGTTTGGGGTTATGTCGTCGGCTGCGTTAAATATCTGTAAAATCGGCCGGTTTAACTTTATTATGTGAATCGAAGTGCTATTATGAATATATATGTAGTTGTGGATGTGTTTATGTGTACTTCACTGTGAATAAAAATAGGCCTACGTTCTTTGGCCCATAGCCCAAGCTATGGCCAACACATAGGCCTAGGAGTAGGCTATTGTGGTTAAAAATCGGGTAAGTTCTGGTGTTCATTTATTCGTAGAACGTTTTTACCCCCCTTAAAATTTGGTACTTTACAGATTAATACCTAGATAACATTGCCCGTGTGCCCCCTCCCCTATTCCAATACGGCATCATAACATCATAGTAACTTCAACGCGTCTCTTTGTTCTTACACTTGCATTGAAATCACGTGATTCGCCGTTAGATAAGCCTAAAAAGCCGAAAAGAACTAAGGAAACTGTTACAAATTTCCCTAAATACAAAAGCAAAAAATGTTACACTTGATTTAGGGACGGGGACACGCTAAATTTCTATGATTAAAAATCAATAGCTCCAGTATTGTTCATGATTTTTATATATGTTTTGGACTCAAACTAATCAGTAACGTACAGGCTTTAATTTTATTTATTGATAGTTTGAATCAGTTAAGCTCAAGATACTGTGTTACTCAATCAGAAATCATAAATTTGAATTTTTTGGATTAGTATATTTCATTACTAGGACCGAAAGTGGCATTTTCCACAGGGAACCCCAATTTCACGTGCGAAGCGAAGCCGAGTATGTGAGAGCTAGTTTCACGTACGAGGCGGAGCCAAGGACGGGAATAATGGAGCAAGTGCCGGATAATTACTTTCGGTACGACCAGTCTTATCTTATATAAATCGATAAGTATATGAGACTGGGACGGGTGGCGTCGTCCTGTAATCCAGCTACTAGGAGGTCACGAATTGTGGATACTTATAGGGATGCACTGTGGATGCGATGCTCCCTGGTGTGGATTAACGTCCGCACTAGTGAGTACTACACGACTATCCGCAGTCCAGTACTATCCTAATAATTAGACCAATTCGTTAATTACGAGGAAAAAATGTCGTTCGGATTCCACAATAAACTGTCTCTTCCCTTAGTTACCATTAGCTGTATGGGCTATTAATTAACAGCTGTGTTTAAGGAACATGTCGGCCTTAGTCACTAACAAGACTACAAGATCGCGCCACTCATCCTACACTCATCCTTCACTCATATTTGGGTTAAAATACGCACATAGTGGCGTCCCCATCTTAAATAATTTATAATTGATAATTAATTGATTGATAATTGATATGAACGATACTTTTCATTACGACGCAAAATACAAAAACTCAGTAATAATACAACTTTTTTATTTGTCAATTCATTTGATTGAACATCAATATAAAATAAAATCTTCTAAAAGAAAACCTACGTATATTTCTCAATAAATTTTGTTTAAACATGAAACTAAAAGAATAAAATATCTTTTACCTACAGTCACCCGACAAAGTTGGCTTCCTTGTACTGTTTATAGTACAGAAAGCTGCTAATTGCTGCATATTTATACTTTGCCGTACGGTATACTTTGTCGTACGGTTTATACTTTGCCGCACATCAGGATTCCAACGAAACAACACAAAACAGCGTGGTTCTATTACGCACGTAATCCGTGTACGCTTGGAAATAGGTTGGCAACACTTAAAGATAATAATACTATGAGCAGCTGATTGACTATTATAACTACGATTTAACCTGTCATTTCGTGTTTATAGTTTCGGTATTTCTGGACTTTCTGGACTTTTCTTTTAAACGTTTTTAAAACATTCCTACGATCTTAATAATCAAGAAAATACCTTTAAAGCATTTTTTTTAGGCGCGGAAACCACTTCAAATTACAAGAACATACGGAACTATATTCTCAAAACGCGGAGCACATTTCTTGCCGAGGAAAAATAGCGGAGTGATACGGACCGCGGGTACTACTTTCTCTAGGGCACCATTTGTGTTGCCAGCTGAACCTAAAAACGTGTTGTATAGTGTTTGAAAGACTAATTATTTATATGCTTTATAGTGACTGTAGGAAAAATATAATGTGTAACACGAGTGAAAAAGGCCTTTGCTGCACTCGAGATCATTCCGCACTCGCCTGCGGCTCGTGCGTAAACATTGCTCTCGTGTGCAGCAAAGTGCCACTTTCACCACTAGTTACACAAATAACTATTACGAATGCATACAGCTGATTCAAATCATTAAATTAAATCATAACAAAACACTAGCGCGCGTAGAGAATAAATGGAGAACTAGTTGAGAGCGAGGGAAAGTAAGTTTAGAGTGAGGGAAAATCAGCTGATCGATTTTCCCTCGCCCTAAATTAGAGCTTGGGAAACGACTACTTTCATTGATGTCAGCTGTTATCGAAAATAGCTACTTTCGTTACGGAGTGATGAAAAATATATTTATTTTAAAGCTGCTGATCAGCATGGGTCCTCTCCTACACGTTAAATGCATAAAAAACATAAGATTAAATTTAAAAACATGAGTGTGTATGCTAAATTAAGTTGATTAATCATTAGCATTGATAACAGTTTTATAATTAATTTAAAAAGTGGCAATAACAAACCGTATTTAGTAGATTTAAGAATTAATATAATCTAAAAAAGAGTTATTTTTAATATAAAACATATACAATAACCTCCGCAATTTAATGCAGATTACAACTGTGTAAACAAATTGACAATCGAGCCACTATGAACAGAGATATAGCGTATTTTGTGAGCGCAAACGCGGAAACGCTATAAGACGTAATGAGTAAGAGAGAGACAGTATAACAACCTTACGTGGTGGAGGGACCGGCGGACCGAACGCCTTGATACGTGTGTTTCTCTGAGCTGAGCAGTACAGCGCGCGATCCAGCACCTAGGTGGCGTCCCCATCTCAATGATTGATAATTTATTGATAAACAACCCTGATTCAACGTTGCCAATTCTACCAGGCCGCGGCCTGGAGTTAAAGGTGGCTGTGATTATGCTATGCCACATTTAACATTTCATAAAGGTTGCCACAAATTCCTGAGTATAAGCTATGGCAATATAAGATGAAATCCCACGGATATGATTCAGGTATATTCAGGCATAGTAGACTTAACCAACAACAGTTTTCCATCGATATCTATTACTTCAATCGATAATCGATGCAGTTTTCTCAGGTTATTGGCGTTATTGTATTCGACCACACTCGACTTACCCTAATAAACAAAGCTAGAGAGAGACTAGAGAGTAAAGTGAGCTCAAGTTCAGTTCAGTTCATTGCATGCATGGGTCCTAAAGTAAGACAGACAGCAATTTGGCGTTCAGGAGAAAAATATAAGCCGGGAGTGCGGGAACCGGGAAGATCATTTCGTAATTTACTTTTACTTTACTTTTACCATTTATTATTACTTCGACTTCGATTTCGATGGTTTTCCAGCCAATCCAGCCTTCATTGCTTCATTCTCATCTCATTCCTTCACTTTCATACACAACACAATTACACATTTCATTTGACAGGCATTCCGTTGTCTCGTCAAACAAAATTAATTTTCTTTCTTTGTATTTTGCATTATAGTGACAGGATAGGAGGTTTGTCAAATTAATTGTTAAAGATTGGTATGTTATTAATATTTTACATCCTTCCAAAAATAATTGAACTAAACAGTCAACACTCAACAGTCCCTCCCTGTGCTTGTTTGTGCTAGTTGGTCCTGCCCTGTGGTACAGTAACTTACCTGTCACCTTTGCGGATTTGAAAGGTGTAAGTAAGTAACTTAAGTCTTAGTCTTCGTAGTTCTTTAATTGCAAGTCTTAACTTAAGTTTTTTTTTTTTTTTTTTAAATAAGGCCTATTTGCTAAGAATATTCTTGATTTTCTGGTTTTCACATACGCAGAGGATACGCATCCGGTAACCGGAGGCGTCTGGCAGTTACTGTCATAACGCAACCTAACCAACCAAACTTGTTGATCATGAAAAAATCGAATGAAGGTTAAATTCTGTTCATAAAATAAAATTATAAATGCCAAAAATTCTAACAAAAGATGTACAGTTAAGAAGAAATGTCATGTAAAGCAAAATCTTTGACAAAAAGTTAAAGTTACCCAGGGATTCGAACCCAGGACCTCTTGCATACTAGCCGAGCACTATCCACTACACCATGCATGAACATCGATGGCTATATAACGTATCGTTGTTGTAATGGCGTTCCGGGCCCCCACAACCCGGTGACGTCACTACCGGATGCCTAATCCACGTCTGGTTACCGGACGTGTATCATCTATGTTTCACATATGCCTTGGCCTTAGGGAAGTTTTAACAGTCTTCTTGTGGATTTCTTAGCCTATGTTGGGAATAAATTAACCTATGTAGGCTACTGTATGTCGCACGATAAGACTTATGTAGGTCCGGGACTGACAGTGAGTCTTGTTTTCGTTTTTATATCCTTAGATGCCAATAACACCATCCATTCAAATTCATATGGACAGTCTACCATAACTTAATATCCAAAGTTAGTTAACTTATGTAGGCTAGGGTAGGCCTATATCTTAAAGCTAATAATATCCTTGAGAAAACCGTAAGCCGCACACCTATCAACCACATAAGATAAATGACAACACTTACACTTACAGGTAGCCTAACTTGAATCACAGGTCTTATAGGTAATATATTATATTACCCCGAAAGTAAGTTAGGATTTTACCGAACGAGTAACTTATGGTTGTTCCCGGGTGAGACAAAGTCGAGTGCGGGACTACGGTTAGGCCTACCATACAAGTATGGTAGGCGTAATCATATTTTGGACGAGTTAGGTAACTTATGATAGTTATCGCCATACCACTCTAAACTGACCTAGGCTAACAATAAAAAAACAAACTTAAGAATCGGTTATATATTCCCACCGACAAAAGGACTTGACAATCACTAGGCCTACGCATAACTTCTAAGTTAAGAGAAGCTATTTTTTTGTTTATTTATTCGTTGACTTATTGCCGATAATTATAATCAGCTGGTGTCCAGTATAAATTGATTACAGTTATAGTAGTACGCAGTGCTTGATTGGTAAAAAATGAGGTTCGGTTCTGGAACTGTAATCTATTTAAAAATGTAATCACATCTCTTTCGGAAAGGTAAAAATATTGTCACAAATCTGTGACAATATTTCCACCTCATTCCCCCACAAATCAAGCACTGGTGGTACCTACGTAATGAAACTCCATTTGATTAATCAGGCGGCAAACAGCTGTTTTCCGTAGGCCTACTAATTTCATGCGTGGTGACTCTATTAAAACAGTGTAAGTTAGTGAGGCAAAAAATATAGTTTTTCAATAAGCCGTCTCCTAAGGGCACGGACCTCAATTAAAGGGGTGTATTTAATCACATTTAAAATATTGAAGATGCATCAGCTGTCGCATTTGTTTTATTTAGTTTGTGTAGGTAGGCCTATTGTTTACTTTTTCCCTGAGTTAATCTTTTGATTCTCTTAGGCCTATAGATTGTTTACATCATGACAAAGTTATTGACTTAGTTTAGGTTTACACAATAGATTTTCATTAAAATAAGCAATAAATCTACAATAATAATCTGTCTACAATTGAGATTTGCCTGTATAGTATAATTCATGATAAGTGTGTGTATAAACTGTGTTTTTAAAGTATGTTTGGTTAAACAAATTGTTCTTTTAAGAATATCTTGCCCCGTTGCGTAGCACGGGCAGAACAACTAGGCTAGTTTAAATATATCCATGTGTCAGCTCAATAACTTGATTGAAAAATCATCCGATCTTTATGAAATTTGGTACAAATATATAAACTTACGTTTTAGAAAAAGTTTACGAACTAGCTTGATTAGAACAGGTGTTTTGGGGGGATTTTAAGAATCAAATTTGGTTTCTACTGACACCCTGCAGCTTATTGGACAGTTTTCTAGAGACCTAACACACCAATCTTCATTTGCTTCACCAACCAAAAGATTGGTATGCCAACATTGAACGTTCTGACATTATTAAATAAATTTTCCATACTTATCCTTTAAATATAAATTTCACTGCATTAACTGTAAACAAGTAAACAAAGAAACAAATACAGATAGTTTGTTTTGAAACAGCAGTTAAGTTAAAATAACATTCATTTGGAAAAAGAACTTGTCACCTGTAGAAGGAATTCAAAAGTAAACACACTAGAAAGCTAGTGACGTAATCTTTTTATTTACCCATGTACTGTTATCCGTGATAAATACCCACCCTCATTGAATCTATATCCATCCTAATTTCCCATATTAATTTATTCAAACTATAGTCTAAGATCAGGGCCTGATTACCCATTAGGCTAATTAGGCTGGAGCCTAGGGCGCCAGTCAGCCAAGTGTTTTAGGGGGGGGGGGCGCCAGACAGCTAAGTTGGGACCGGGGGCGTGAAAAATGTTTTATTCCAAAAAAGGATTCGCGCAGATAGGGAATGAGGCGGGGAAGGGTGGTTCAGCAGATTTTCATAATCATCTATATATTTAATACGCGACATGAAACTTTGTGAACAATAAGGCTTTTTTGTTTTAAGATTTAACCCCACATATTATATACCAAAATGTTCGTCTATGTGTGTAGATGTGCAAACTGGCTTTAGATTTTCGAAATATATCTTTTGAAGGGCGTGGGCTACCCTCAAAGTTCCTTCCATAAGGATAACATTGTGATTGATTTGAATGTTATTATATTCTGAAACATATGTCAATAAATTAGTAAAAGAAATCCCAGCTGTTTTGTTTGGTTTTGAAATGAAACAGTTTGCATGTTTTTAAAAAATAATTAGAAACCCGGCAAAGAAATGTTACCTATAGGACACGACGGGAGAAAAGTTTTACATTTTATTTTAGTTTAAACATGCCAAATACCCGACGATAAAGAAATATTGCCGGTCAGACACGGCAAGTCAACATACGGCAAGCAATGCAAAACGTAATGAGCCCAGACGAGGAGCTGGAACAGTTAGTGGCAACGTGTACTTACAAAATTACACTGACAAATACAAGAACTCATCAGCAGCATTCACTCGGCGAGATGGCATTAAAATGTCAAAAATGTGGTGTGCTACATTTGAAAGAAGAACAAAGAGGACAAGGCGAAGGATTTTCATCATGCTGCAATAAAGGAAAAGTGAATCTACCACCATACCGAGAAAGCTATTATATCCAGAGCCTACCAAATGGAGCAAATCATTTGATCAGAAACTACAAAGAGAACATAAGATTGTACAACTCTGCGCTCGCAATGGTCAGCACTCGAGCTAAAATTGAAGAACATAACGGTGGAGGGCCTTTCATTTATAAGGTGCACGACACAATTCATCACTCTATTGGCACCTTTCAACTGTCAGAAGGGGAGCATCCCACATATGCCAAAATTTATATCTACGACGTCAAAACCGCTGTTCGAGAAAGAATGCTAAACAAAGCTAATGGCTCTTGCAGCACTGAACTCATGCACATTTTGACTAAACATTTGGTTGATATTAATCCATTCGCGCAAGTTTTCAGCATGATAAGCTCCGTCCTGCAAAATACTCCTACTGAACAGCAAAAAGAACTTAGAATGTATCAGTTTATAGCCAACGATCGAGCTCAAGACCAACGCCGATACAACGACGTAACTTCTACGTTGCTACAATATATCCTAATTTATTCGTGCGAATTCGCACGGGTTCACCTAGTTATATTTATAGTAATAATTGAATGTAAAAACATTTTACGATACTTTTTGTTGCAGATAAATATAGATAAATGATGTAAAACTAAGTAATTCTATCTAAAGACCCTAATAAAATTGTATTAGGCCTAGGTGATTAACAGAGTTGACAGACATCCCTGTAGACCAATGCAGAGAATTCAGGACCTTCAAATAGACCGTTGCGAAGATATAAGCTTTTTAATAACATTGGAACACCGAAGCAAATATGCGACGTCAGTCTATTTTAATGTGATCAGCTGTTGTATAATACGACAGCAGTCTATGGGTAGAAACCGGTCGTCGCATATATGAGTCGCTGGTCCAAAGGAATGAAAAATTTAGTATTATAGCCGTAGCGAACGTGTTAAAAATGTTAATATTCTGGATAACTTGCAACCCCCAAACTCAACAACCTCTGGGTCTAAAAATTGTCAAGTCAGTGAGGTTTTACTGTACAGTATATTCATATTTATATATTACATTTTATGATTTTTTTCATAGCACATTATTTAAATCTGTTTGAGTGCAATTTAAAGCTGGTGTATTATTGTATTAAGTGTCCAAAAATCAATAATGTATGATTTATGAAGCAAAACACAATAGTCTAGTAGGTTTTGTTGTGGCTCTCCTAAGTTAACACTGTCAATCAAACAACGTCATTCAATGGCGGAGAACTAGGTAGGCCTATCAAGAATGGTATTAAGCTTGATTATTCAATTTCCTACCTATTTTTATGAGTCTAAGAATGATCTAAGTTTACTAATTTCATTATATCTTTTCATTTTGTACAACTGTAATATATTTGTTTCAGCATAATGGAGAGTGATATGACAATTTTTAAAGACTTAAAAGGATTATCTTCTGAAATAGAAAGCAATTTAAAGATTTTAGAATTTGAAGTCAGTGATGCAACAAAGTTACTCTATGATTCGGATAACAAACTACAGTCAGACTCCAAAGGCATCGTTGTTCTGCAAGAAATTTTGAAACAACATACAAAAATATGTGTAAGTTAATTTTACCATGACATTTTTCAATCAATTGTCAAACACTTTTTAAATCTGCTAAACCATTAGTAGGAAATTAGTTAGTAAGCCTATCTGCCAAATAATATTTTAGACTTACACATTTTTCAAATTTATGTTAGAGAAAAGTTTGTCATCTGATGAGTCAGTTGATCATTTCCTTTTAGCGAATTTCCCATATAGGGAATAAGCTATTACCATAGTACTCATGGTAAGACCTGGACCCGGGACCGATTTACTTTTTCGTTTTGAGGTTCCTAAAGGCCAAAAAAACCATGCGTTCAAATTCATATACATATATATATACAGGGTGGGGCAATGAAATCGCCCCAATTTATAAGTAGTACAAACTCAATAATATTCCCCCTATGGATATAAATAGCACATCAAAACACAGCTTATCTTTTGCCATTTAAACTCAACAAAGTCATTTTTCAATTTCTTAAAAACAAAATCCTGCAAGTGACATCCTTGTCCTACTTGACATTCATTTTTAGTCACTTGAAAACTCCATTAAATACTCCTCCAGCATTTCTTCTGGAATCACTTTAGTTTTGGACAATTCTTAGCTTCGGTTCAAGTAAATCTGTGGGGTGACTTTGAAAAACCTCGAACATCAAGTAGGTAGCTTATTAAAATAACCCCCCCCCCCCCAAAGAAAAAGGAGCCAACGTAAAGCTTTCAACAACAAAAGCTTCCTGGCAAATCTCTTTGGACTTTGAGTTACTGCGACTCACACTCTTTCCATGTTTGCTGGTGTACAAAAAGTTTCGCGGCAACCACTGATTAAACGTTTAAACGTTTATCCTAAATAATTTTACCCAGTTCACCATGGTTTTCCAATCTGGAACAGCGCCATTTTGACCAAGGATGGAATTTGGTCCAAACAATCTCTGGGTTTTTGCACAAGAATCACTATTTTAACATGTTGACTGCGGCCTACTGCTTTAGCAGTAGCGCGGCACTGACACTGCTCGCAGCCTACTGCTATATCAGTAGTGTGATGGCCTGCCAAACATTGTGTCAGTATGAGCCCAGCACACGGCCGAGAATGTTGTGATTGTTGCCAGGCTGTAGCTTAGAATGCGAGCTTTATTTTGGTGTAGGTTGGTATTAAACATTCCTGTAAAATCCCGTCTGGCAATGCTTTTGTCCTGTTTTCGGGGATTTTCTCTATTTGAGCCATATTACAAAGACTCTGGTTATTGATCCTGGCAGTGCTGCTCCCTTTGGGTGTTTCAGTGAACTAAGTCTACTTTCGGGTAACGCAGAACATATCACCACTGCTCTTTTGTGATTCCAGGGTGTCTACCAACCGGGAAATCCGGGAAAACCGGGAATTGTACTTAAATTTTTACTGGCCATGAAATGTACGGGAATTGTCCTTAAATGCCAGACAATGTCCTTAAATTTTTAATGGGCCATAATTTTATTGATCACTAGTTGGTTAGGAGCACATAAAAGGTTTATCAGATGTTTGTTTACATTTTCATAATTTATTACTAGAGTAATTATGCAATAAAAATCTCATTAACAATCTCAAACCCATTAATATTTTATCACGACAATCAAGTGTCGAGTCAAGTACTTCCAAGAACTGTTGACTCAGCAGCTAGCTCATAAAAGTTGTATCACTTTTATTCCCTTACAACTTCTTTTAGCGAATTTCCCTTTAGGGAAGTAGCTATTACCGTAGGTCTCATGGTAAGACTTAGGCCCGGGACCGGTTTACTTTTTCATTTTGATGTCCCCAGAGGCCAAAAACACCATTCGTTAAAATTTTTATATATGTATATACAGGGTGGGGCAGAGTGGACTCCCTAGTTTCAATCAGTCGCTGAAGAGCGTGCGCGCGAGTTAGCGGAGTGGGAGAGGTTTCATGTGGTGGGGGGAAAGATGCCATTGTTAGTAGTCACCATGCCATAAACTGGCGAGCATCATGGTTTTGTAGTCAAAACGTTCTTTAAAAATAAGGATAGTGTGGTGGCGACCCAGCGTGCATTTCGTAGACGGTTTGGTTTGAATTGTCATGATAGTGTTCCCAATGCTAAAACCTTAAGGAAATGGATTACAAGTGTACGGGCGACCGAATCTGCAACTGAGGTTTACAAAGTTCGACCAAGGACCTTGGAAGCCCTTAAGGAAGCAATTGTTGATGTTATCACTGGAATAATGCCAGATATGCTGCGTAGAGTTTTTGAAAACTTCATTGAACGGCTGAATATGTGCATCCCTCGTCAAGGTCTTCACCTGGACGATATCATTTTTAAAACTTAATGAAAAATAAATGGCATTGTATTTAGATTTCAGAAATAAAAAGCTTTTGTAATAATCTTGTATGGTTTTTATACAGTTAACCGATCAAATCAGGGAGTCCACTCTGCCCCACCCTATATATATAGATATATATATATATATATATATATGTGTCCGTGAACACGATAACTTGAGTAATTTTTATCCGATTTTGATGAAATTTGGTTTAAAGGTGTAAGGCGGGATTAACTTGAATGAGTTCGCGAGCCAGCATGATCGGACCATGGGAACAGGGTTTTATGGGGTAAAAATTGGTTTTTCTCACTTTTGACCCTCAAAACACAAAATTTCCCAATTTTTCTCTAAACCTTCTTAAAGAGCTTAAAAAAACAAACAATTCAGTATATCAAAGTGTTTTTGTACGGTTATTGGTTACGGAGAAAACTAAAAAAATTGTAAATTTAAAATTCCCATGTTATTCTTATGGAGAATATTGTAAAATGTTGTAGTTTGCTTGTTTATGGATATCTTTTAATCAAACTTGGCAAATATATTCATTTTCTACTAAGCAATAATTATTTTACTTAAAATACACACTTTATTAGTTTCCTTGTAGCAGCAAACCTAGGTACCCGTTAAACCTAATGTTATCTACAATCAATTCAGCCAAATGGAAATTCGCTTAGACGGCAGGTTTGCTGCGGCGGGGGTATTTTTTATTACTAGGGTAATTATTATTAGATCCCAAACCTATTTTATCGTGAAAATAATAGCTTTATAATGGCTGTTAAATTTCACTTCTTACTTACTTTCGGCTTGAAGATTCAATTTGCCGCGGCCAGTGCCTAGTGCCATAAAACTGTTTATGGTTTCATATTAAACATGTAAATAATCTACAGTCTTATTTTGTAAGTTAACCACTTTTTTATGGACATTTTATCTTTCAATTGACAAAACCACAAGCATTGTTGTTTGCATTAATGTTTTATCACTATGTAGGGCTGCTTGGTTTCAAATTATGTCATTGCATTTTCTGTATCTTTGTCTTATGTTGTTGGCTATTCAGGTTTCAATGTTTTTTGTTTCCCATATATTTATTTATTGAGTTGTATGCTTTAAGCAATCAAAATCTTATGTGAACTAGAATGATGATAGTAACTTTGCTGCTATTATAACCTCATTGTTTGTTACTCAGTTTATATAGGCCCTCCTAAATAATTAGGTTTAGGCCTGGGTATTTTGATTCTTGAAAGAGCTGTAAAATATATTAAGAAAATGTAATTGAGTAAACAACTAATGATTGCTATGTGTCGATATTAACTTTACAAATGAAAGTACAATAATCTTACTCTGTGCTTATTGCTTATTAATAGCCGCTTACCATACCTTGATTTTGTATTAAGAATTGAGTTACAATATGCATTAAAGATTTTTTTTCAAAAGTAGTCGAGAACCTAACGTTGTGCCAGGGCGAATCATGACAAATTAATCCGCCTGGATCGGATAAGCTATGTTATGAAGTTTACTTGACGGATGGAGATATTTGTCGCTATCGCAGGAGACAATGATTGCGTTTCTCTGTTACACTATAAAAGCTTTACCTAAAGTATAGGTAGGCCTATGTTTGTTTACTTTCAATAAATTTCTATTTTGTAATTTTTAACTCTTATCTATTATTATTTACTTTTCTCTCTGGTACAACTACAGTGAATAACAAGATTAATACAGTTTGACAAATCAGGAAAATTATTCGGTAGGCCTAATGACACCGACAAAGGTTACGGCAAAGTGTCCTTAAATGTACGGGAATTGTCCATGAATTTTTTATCCAGAATGTAGTAGACACCCTGGATTCGTTTTACTGAGATATTTCAATGCCAATAGCGATCGCTGATTCAGTAGCGCGCCGGGGCTCCGTCCGCAGTTTAGGAAGCGCCATTGTAAAGGTTTTCAGTAGTAAACAAGTTAAAAATAGATTTCCACATCAAAATCTCGATCAGTGTTAATAGTAAATAGGAATGAATGAATGAATGAATGAATGAATGAATTCTTTATTATTTCAATACAGAACATCAGATTGAATGGTACAAAAAAACGATTTATGAAATATGAATCCCCAAATGGGCTATATGCCTGTGGTTGGGGATTAAGTCAATCATCCGCACAAAAAAACAATAATTTAGGCTACATTCAAAAAGGAAAAAATATATATATATATTGTACACAGAATTTGTATACAAGAAAAGGATAAATAAGAAAAAACTAGTTTACAAGATAAAAATATACAAAACGATACAGTGTATGAAAAATTAATGCACGCATATATCACACGTTCAGTTTGCACGTTAAAAATGTAGGAAATTATCCCATTAGAAATACACATAATTAGAATTGCCCGAGACTTGGCACATGCATTCCACACACAATGCCCTTACACATTCACACAGACCACTCATACCTCACAAACTCACAAAGAACCTACACTCACCACAAACATACATTCACAGCCACTACCTTCCATAGTACCCGCCCCGGGACCCACAGGCAGCTGGTAGCTCTTATTAAAAAAAACGTCACTGCACTGTCCCTGTGGTCCAGCCTAGCGGGGTACCCATGGCACACCCACCCCCCCCCCCACACACACACACACGCACACACACACAAAACACACAACATACACGCACGCAACGGCATAGATTACTGCAGTTGTTCATGAAATGATAGTA